CCAGCCCAAGTCCATAAGTCTGATATTAGCCCATATTTCCAATATCAATCTATAAAGTCCTCTTCAGACTCACGAAACACATGCAATGACGCCAAATGCAGAATATCACAGGCCATTGTGTAGAGAGTTTTTGGATCCAGTACCAATGGAAACCTATCTAAATCCTTATCTTAACTATTCTATTTTTATGAAAATATGGGACTAGGTCTCTGAAGGCATCAAAACAGATCCATGTTTTCAGTCAGTCAATTTGACCTTCTATCAGCCATTTTCCTTAAGCAGCACGGTTTCTGAGACATTCAAACGGCAATTTCTACCTCTGAGCTCAAAGTATACATTAATCACATTCATTTTTGCCATTTCACACAGGAATAACTAAAAACAACAACCAAACAAAATAGTCAAAGCTTTAACTTCCCATATTCTTTATATAAAATAACTGAGTAAACTGCAAGGATATATTTGACTTCTGGCGAGCCAAAGAAGAAACACTACTATGAGTCAGAAGTCAAACAAACATATACTTTGCATTTTTATTTGTTTCTCCAGTACCCCTCCCCCACACCAAGGTACCATAATGTGTTAGTCTTGGTAGACTAGAGAAACACATCCATGGACACACATATGTATACAAGGGAAAGGTTCATATACAAGAGCAACCAAACATGGAGAGAACATCCCAGCCCAGTCCAGATCAAGTCCACAAGTCCGATACTAGCCCATACTTCCGATATCAATCTATAAATTCCTCTTCACACTCACGAAACACATACAATGACGCCAAATGCAGATCACAGGCCAGTGGGTAGAAAGTCCTTGGATCCAGTGGCATTGGAAACATCTCAGCGCTGGCAGGTGTCTCTCTGTGGCTTCTCCGGCTTCCGAGGTCTGGTTGCATCCATGTGGCTTTTCTTCTGCAATGTCTGTTGTTGTTTTTTTTTAATATGGCTTTTATTATGTTGAGGATTTTTGCTTGTATTCCTATTTTGTTGAGTACTTTAATCAAAAATGGGTGTTAGATATTGTCAAATGTCTTTTCTGCATCTATTTCCATGATCATGTGGCTTTTATTTTTTGCCTTATTTATGTGATGAGTTACATTGATTGCTTTTTGAATGCTGAACAATCTCTACATCCCTGGTATGAATCCCATTTGGCCATGGTGAATTACTTTTTGTTATGATGTTTATTCTATGGGCTCAAATCTTGTTGAAGGTATTAGTGTCTATGTTTATAAAGGATCTTGATTTATAATTTTCTCTCTTTGTTGTCTTTGCTTGGTTTGGGGGTTTAGTGTTATGCTGGATTCATTGAATGAGTTTGGGTGTTTGTTGTCTTTTTCAATGTTCTGGAATAGCCTGTGTAGTATTGGTGCCAGATCTTTTCCAAACATTTGGTAGAATTCTCCTTTGAAATCGTCTGTTCCTGGACTTTTCTTGATGGGAAATTTCTTAATGACTTGCTCTATTCCTTTTTTTGTTAGGGATTTGCTGAGGTTTGCAGCATTTGTCTGCATTAATTTGAATGGATGATGTATATCTAGGTATCTGTCTATTTCTTCAAAAGCATCCATTTTTTAATACAGTTGGTATTTGTGAGGAATTGTTTTTTATGTCGGTTTCAGGTTTGTATATTGTTGTTGTTGTATATTGTTTTATTGTAGTATTTAAGTGAGTATTTCTTTGTAGTGTTGACCTTGTTTTAAGTGAATTGCTTTAATTCTCCTTTTCTGGGAATACATTAATTCCGCCATCATATTTAAGTGATAGTCTTCGTTAGTCTGGGTAGACTAGAGAAACAAAGTCATAGACATTCATATATATATAAGAAAGAGGTTTATTTACAAGAGCAATCGAATATTGGGAAAATGTCCCAGCCCTTTCCATATCAAGTCCATAAGTCCAATATTAGCCCATATGTCTGATACCAATCTATAAAGTCCTCTTGAGACTCACAAAATACATGCAATGATGCTGAATGCAGGAGGATCATGGCCAGTTGTTTGGAAGTCTTGTGGGTCCAGTGGCATTGTAAGCATCTCAGTGCTGGCAGGGGTTTCTATGTGGCTTCTCTGAATCCAGAGATCTTGTTGCATCAGGGTAGGTCCATGTGGCTTCTCCAGATCCCAAGGGGTAGTGCGATGTGTCTTGTCAGTAGAGCATCTCTCAGGGACTGAGCAGAGAGAGAGAAGTGTCTCTCGCCTCCAAGGAGGAAAATACAGCAGTTCCCAGAATTCTCAGGAGAAGGCCACACCCACACAGAGGCCTCATTAGTTACATCTTGATCGCCAGGCCAGACTATACCCCTTCACTTGTATTCCTCTCAAATTGACACCAGATTATGTAACTACCACATAGTCCTTTTGATTTCTTCATACCCTCTTGTAGATACTATCGTTCTCTTTACACAATTTAATAGCTGTCTGCATGCTAACCTATTGCTTTAAATTATCTCCCCACCCCCACAAACCCCACCTGAGTAATCATCAAAGGAGGTTTCTTTAGGTATATAAACCTTTCTCTTTGTTTTTCCCTTAAAATTTGATCCCAGACAATATTTGTCCTGTTGCAATTAACTAACCATTCAACAATGTTTTCCAAGGCCATCCATGCCATGAGGTGTATCACCGTTTCATTATTACTCTTTAGAGGTGCGTAGTATTCCATTATTATTCAAGTCTTCCAATGAAGGGCATTTAGTTTGTTTCCATTTCCTCACTATTGTGAACATGGCTGCAGTCAAAATGGTTGTGCATACAGCTGTCTGCTCTTTGACTCTACTTTATTTAGGGGATATATCTAGCAAAGAGCTAAATGGGCCATATGGTATTTCAGTTTTCAGTTGTTTGTGAGAAAGTACCATATCACTTTCCACAGTCATTGCACATTTTTACAGTCCAAACAGCAGTGTATCTCTCCATACCTTCTCCAACATGTGTTATTTTCTGTTTCTGTGAACATTGCTTTCAATGCCAATGCAAGATAGTATCTCACTGGTGTTTTGATTTGCATCTTTCAGTTGGCTAGTGCTCAGAAGCATTTCTTCATATGTTTGTTGGTTATCTGGACAATCATATCACATTTTTATTAACAACTGTAATTTACTTGAGATTTCCATTTTATTTTCTTGATCCATCTGCCAGATATTTCTCATGTAATAGATCTCATCTATCCTAAATTATTAGAGCCAACATTTTTTGCTCTGTTCTTTCATATCTGCTTTCAATTTCATGAAGTTCTACTCTCATTTTTATCATTTTTCCTGTACCATAGTAGGAAAACACAATGTTTTATTGTGTATAAAATAACTCTACAGTCTTCATCTAGCATCTATCTTTAATTAACAATTGCTATTTTTAAATGAAATTGATAAGCTCCAAAACACTGGTTTGCTTATAAAACATCTGAAACTTGTCATTGTTGGGGATTTTAACCAATACCATTACACCCATTAACCTATATGTTCAGAGAAAAGATGTTTCAGGAACAGGAAACTGCACCACTGAAGGAAACATATTTCTGTTGTTAATATACATGAACTTAATTTATGAGAGTAACATTCAATGTAGAAAGGACATGACTTTGAAATAAGATATTACTCCATTCAAATCCTAGCTCTTTCACTTACTGTTCATATGATATTAGGCAAACACTTAATCTCTCTGCGTCCCATTTCCTTCATTTGGTAGACACAAGAGTTGTTTGCCAAGTATTTCCATTTATATCTTGGGCGAGGCACCTGAGAAGAATCCACTTCTTGACCACTTTGGTTTGGGCAGGCCCACGCATGTGAGTTGTGGGTGGTACATGCTATTTCTGGGATAAAATACATTTTTTGATTGGATACCTTCCTGGTCCTCTTCCTCTCTGTGACAGTGAATGACAGTCTTCAAGAATGGGACTATTCTGTCTGTTTGGGTCTCCGAGTCATTCCAATGTGTATAGCCAGATCTTAGTATCCACCATCCTGTAAGGGGCTTGTATCTTTCATGGCTACAGTTTATCCCCAGTCTGTACTGTCCCTTAAGTCTCATATTAAAATTAAAATAATACCCTCTACCGATGATTTCACATTTCAATAAGGTAACCCATGATTAACACATCAACTTGGAGATATCATACATATGCTCCATTAAACATACTCTTGGCTAATGGATTCTGAATTATAGCAAGAAACCCATATTACAATATCGAATAACTTCATACAGTTTCTAAGGCTATAATTCTTATAAGTCCTGCGCGCTAACCGATTGCGCCACTGGAGCACCCTAAGGCTATAATTCCTATAAAGCACACTAGCACATCTTTCTCCCGTGGAGGAGCTGGTGGATTCAAAACACCAATCATTCAGTAAACAGAGAATAGCTTAACCACTAAACCACCAGGAGTCATCTTACATTTAATAGGGATCTCAAATCGCAATCATAATTATTAAAAATCATAACTCATACTATCAAATAAGTGTGGAATATTTTGGTAGAATAGGAAGCACTGATTCTACTCGTCCTGAAAAGGATATTATATGTGACTTTCAATGTTGTTGTGAGGTGTCAGAGTCAGTTCTTTCCATGGTGAGCACTTTCTTTTTGCTATAGACAACACTTCACAATTAGTTTCATTTGTGTAGTTATTTTTTACTATCATGATATTAAAACACATAAACTGCAGATACCTTAAGAATTAAAACGTGAAATATTAAAGCAGGAAGGAGATGGAAATGAGTTCATGAGCAAAAAGTAAATTCTTAATGACAAAGGAAGAGGTTGAAATTATTAGGAAAAAATGTATTTACATTGAGGTAAGTAAACAAAGGTACAAAGTAGTGGAGATACAACATGAATAGTTTCCTAAATTATTTCTTGAAGAACACTAGTATTTTAAATAACTTCTGAAAAAACATTCCATTTCTGTTAACACTGGGGAAACTATCCAATGCTTTTAGATTCATATTGCATAGTAGAATACTGTGCAAAAACTTCTACAATTCAGAAATCCACTTACCTTCTGTTCTGTAGGGATTGCATTTCTGTACCACAGAGTACATTTTGGTTGTTTTTGCATCTCAGATATAGTTTTTGAAGAACAAGCCTGGAAATGCTGAAAGGTGATAAAAAGAAGGTGGATTATTAACTTACATATAGTATAAAATATCACAAGTGACAATATTCTTTAATCATCTGTCAAATAATATTTTAAGCCGCATACATGTAAGCCCATATTTACGCAACCCTTTCTTGCAGTACCATTTTCACAATGTTGTAAATAAGATAATCACTGTCATTTTACTTAATATTTTTCTTAAATGCATTAGCATTTTCCACTTAAAGGCAAGGAAAGGAGGAGATTTTAAAAAATTTACGAAGCCAGGCTTTGAAAATCATGGGGGTAAATAAAATCAAATTGTACCTGGCTTTTGACTGTTTAAAGCCATTTGTAGATTTTAAGACCCCCAAAAATATTATGGTGCCACTTTCAAAGGTATTTTGTGGGCCTATGGACATCAAATTACTTTAAATGACAAATAAACTTAATGTGTTAGTCTGGGTTGACTAGAGCAACAAATCCAGACACTCTCATATGTGTGTGAGAAACTGCTTTAGATAAAAGAGCAATTGTATATTGAGAAAAAAGCCCAGCCCAGTCCAGATCAAGACCGTAAGTCTGATATTAGTCCACAATTCCAATACCAATCCATAATGTTCTCTTCAGACTTGTACAACACATGCAATGATACCAAATACAGGAAGATCACAGGCCAGTGGGTTGGAAGTCTTGTGGATCAAGTGGTATTGAAAGCATCTCAGTGCTGGTAGGGGTCTCCACAAGGCTCCTCCAGCTCCAGAGCTCTGGTTTCATCAGCATAGCTCGATGTGTCTTGTCAGCAGGAAGATGAAACAGAGAGAGTGTGTCTGGCCTCCAGTGAGCTATTTAGCTCCATCACACCTCCAAATGAGGTTATCAAACTGTGACCTGGTTAACAGGCTAGACGCTACTCCTTTGCAAGTTGACAGGAGATTATGTAACTGTCGAATTCAGAATCTGCATATGTTGGATAATTGAACACTTTTATTGAAATTATGAATTCTTTTTTTTCTAAGATCATTTTATTGGGGGCTCTTATAGCTCTTATAACAATCCATACATCAATTGTATCAAGCAGGTTTTTACATGTTGTCATCATTATTTTCTAAATATTTACTTTTTATTTGAGCCCTTGGTATCAGCTCCTCTTTTTCACTCCCTTCCCCCCTCCTGCCCCTCATGACCCTTTGATAAATTATAAATTATTATTTTCATATCTTACACTGACTGCTGTCTCCCTTCACACATATTTCTATTGTTCATCTCCCTGGGGGCGGGTGTTAAGTTTTGATCATTGTGATTGGTTCCCATTCCTCCCCTTCTCTCCTCACCTTCCCTCTACCCTCCTGGTATCTCTACTCCAATTTCTATTCCTGAGGGATTTAACTGACCTGGATTCCATGTATCATGAGCTCTTATCTGTACCAGCATACATACTCTGGTCTAACCCAAAGTCAAAGGCAGGGCTGGGATCATGATAGTGAGGAGTGAAGAAGCCTCATGGAACCAGAGAAATATTGTGTGTTTCATTGGTGCTATAGTGAGCCCTAATTGATTCATCGTTCCATGTTATACTTCTTTGAGGGTATGTCCTATTGTCTACAGATGGCTTTGGGGTCTCCACTCCAATCTCCTTTCATTCTCAACAATAAGATTTTTTGTTTGTTTGTTTCTTTGTTTTGACTCTTCTGATACCTGTTACCTGATTTCATTGAAACTTCATGATCACACAGGCTGGTGTGCTTCTTCAATGTGGGCGTGTTACTTCCCTGCTAGATGGCTGCTTGTTTAACGTCAAGCCTTTAAGACCCCAGACGCTGTATCTTTTGATAGCCGGGCACCATCTACTTTCTTCAGCACATTTCTTTGTGCGCCATTGTGTCTTCAGCGATCATGCCAGGTGGGTGAACATGACAGAATTCAGGCTGTTAGAACAGGTGTTCTTGCTTTGGGGGAGGGCTTGGGTAGGGACCCAAATTGCATCCACTAACTCAATGTTTTGCCATACACACACACACACACACACACACACACACACACACACACATTTGAATGACCATGCCATAAATCTGGAGAGCAACAAAAGGACAACCAGAAAAACAAGGCAAACAATTGGAGGATGAATAACAATCATCTGTGACATGATGGGTACTGGTCTGGGTTAGAGAGGAGTTAGGAAGTTTCTAGAAACTAATGAGAATGAGAATATAATGAACCAAAATTTCTGGGATACAGCAAAAGCAGTTATCCAGGGAGTTTAATAGCAATTAATGCATATATGAATAAGAAAGAATTATCACTGATATGCTATCACAAAACCTCCAGCAATTAGAAAAGAGTTGGTAGAACAACCCTTCCAAAAGCAAAAGAAATAATAAGAATCATGCCCCCCCTCCCCCGCCCAAAAAAAAGAATCATGGCAAAGTTAAAGGAGTAGAAAGACAAAAGACAATAGAAAAAAAAAACAACGTGGTCAAAAGCTGGTTCTTTGAAAGAATCAACAGCATCGACAACCTAATGGAAAACCTAACCAAGGAAAGACAGGAGCAAGCAAACAGCAATAGCCAGGATGAGGGATGAAATGGGAAATCACAACAGACCCCAAGGGCATTAAAAGAATAATCACTAAAAAACTGTGGTGCATACTTACAATGGAATATTATGCATCCCTAAAAAGCAGTGATGAGCACATGAAGCATGTCATCACATGGGAAGGACTGGAGGAAATTCTGCAAAGTGAAGTAAGCCAAGCACAAAAAGCCAAGTATAACATAAGTCCACTGAGGTAAGCTTATAAAACATGCAAAAGGGGCATAGGGAAAAGGCTACTGTATACAAACATTCCTGGGGTGAGGTCCAGGTAGTATGGCAGGAGCCAGACTAAATCCAGGGATACATATGGTAGCCAACTAAAAAGGAGAAAAAAGAGAGAGAGAAATGGGTAGCAGGGGAACAAGGCACTAACCCACCCAAGGGTAGGATATTGTTTATATCTCCATAGGGAAAGAGGGACCAGACTTCAACCTGGTGCTCCAAGTCGTAAATGCAACATACCAGCATGAACCAGGGAACCAGTAGAGAAATCTGAAGGCCCAGCCCCAATCCCAACTACATGAAAAACCTCCTCTCACTCCAGAAGAATTTACTTCAAAGGACAGAACTGAAGCTCCAGCTCACGTAGAGGGACATGTCTGATCAGAGCATATGGGAGCAAATGAAGTGTGAGAAGAGAGTGGAGCACATCCTGGCCCACCAAGCCTTGAGGACGATATCCCCGGTCAGAGCAGCCAATGCACAGTGAGGACCATAAGGCTGGCCCCACTACAAGACACGATATCCCTCACTGACCCATAACCCTATAGGGGACAACACTGGAGACACAGTGTGGGAATTGCACCCGATCAGACCCAACTACACCGAGGAAAAACACTAAGGGATTGCAACAGAACAACAAGGGGAGCAGACCAAGGAAGTCCCGAGGGAGTAAAAAAAATTGATTTTGGGGCCAGGGTGTGGCATCCCATCAGGCTCAACCAGAAAACACTTCTAAAGGTCAAATAACAGACCTTGAACCATTTACAGGCTTTTTCTGTTTCATTGTTTTTTGTTGTTGTTTTGTTTTGCTCTGTCTTGTTTTTTGTGCATATTATTATCTCTGCAGGTCTAGCTAGATAAGATAGGCTGGACAAGCAATCTGGAGGAGAAAACAATGGAATCAATGGTTCCAGTGGAATATGAGAGGGCGGGGGGGGAAGAAGTGGTGTTAACAAACCCAGGCACAAGGGAACAAATGATACAAAATCAGTGGCAAGGAGGGTGTAAGAGGCCTGGTAGGGATTGATCAAGGGCAATGTAACCAAGAGGAATTACTGAAAACCAAATGAAGGCTGAGCAAGAAGAAAGTAAAAGGAACTAGAAGAAAGAACTAGGAGGCAAAGGACATTGATAGAGGTCTAAATACAGGTATGTACATATGTAAATATATTTATATATGATAATAGAGAAATAGATCTATGTGCATATATTTATAGGTTTAGGATAAAGGTAGCAGGTGGAAATTGAGCCTCCACTCAAGTACTCCCTCAATGCAAGAATGCTTTGTTCTATTAAACTAGCATTCCATGATGCTCACCTTCCTGACACAATTGCTGAAGACAAAGCGGGTAAATAAGAAAGCTGATGGTGCCTGGTATCAAAAGATATAGCATCTGGAGTCTTATAGGCTTGAAGATAAACAAGCAGACATCTAGCTGAGAAGCAACAAAGCCCACATGGAAAAAGCACACCAGGTGTCAAATGGATCAGGTATCAGGCATCAAAGAACAAAACAGCATATCATCGTGTGCTCACCTTCCCGATATTATCGCTGAAGACAAATGGGTGCTTAAGCAAATGCGGTGAAAAAAGATGATGGTGCCCGGCTATAAAAAGATATAGTGTCCTGCCCCTCTGCCCCAGAAGAATTTGTTTCAGAGGATGGCACTGAATCTGCAGCTTCAGGAGAGGGACATGTCTGATCGGAGCACATGGGAGCAGATGAAGGGGGAGGAGGAGAAAGTGGAGCACATCCTGGCCCACCAGGCCTTGAGGACAATGTTCCCGCTCAGAGCAGTCAGTCCACACAGAGGACCATATGGCCGGTCCCACTATGAGACATGATGTCCCTCACTGACCCATAGCCTTACAGGAGACAACACTGGAGAAGATGAAGGGGGAGGAGAGAGTGGAGCACATCCTGGCCCACCAGGCCTTGAGGACAATGTTCCCGCTCAGAGCAGCCAGTCCACACAGAGGACCATATGGCCGGTCCCACTATGAGACATGATGTCCCTCACTGACCCATAGCCTTACAGGAGACAACACTGGAGACACATTGTGGGAATTGCGCCCGAACTGATCCTGCCACACCGAGGCAAAACATTAAGGGGGTGCTACAGAACAGCAAGGGAATGGAATGGCGAGGTCCCCAGGGAATGCCGAAGGTGGACTTTGGGGTCAGAGTTTGGTACCCCAAG